ATATAGATGAGGTAGGAAACTGGGGATGTTTCCTACTTATATAAGCCGCTAAAAAGGGAAAACATTTCTCAAAAACAGTCCTAAGGACTTTTTAATTGTCCTATGTTGACCACTGCCCAGAGGACCAGATGAGTCCCAGCCTCTGGGCCTGGGCTGCACTCTTGACCCTCCAAGTTTGTCCTGATCAGTACTCAGGTTCCTGGGCCAGGCTGCAGTTGGGAAGTCATCACCAGGTCATTGGTGCCTGCTGGGCCATTATCTAGTGAGGTGGGTTGTGGTGAGAGGACTAAGAAAGTTATGCCTTTCTTACCAGCGACAGCCATGAGGACTGCACATAGAAACAAGGCTGCACTTTCTCCTAGGACTAGAGACTAGATCAAGTGGGAACAGGTATTAATAATAGAGCAATGAATCCACTATCTTATACAACAGTTTTTAGTTTTTTTCTGTGTGTTATTTCTGTTTGTTTTCTAAAAGAGGGGTGATTTTATTTATTTTAAATTGAATGTATTGGGTTGACATTGGTTCACAAAAGTATACATGTTCAGGTGTACAATTCCATAATGCATCATCTGTGTATTGTATTGTGTGCTCACCACTAGCAGCCAAGTCTCCTGCTATCACCACTTATCACCCTGTATCCTCTTCCCACCCCCTTTACCTCTGGTAATCACCATGCTATTGTCTGTATCTATGAGTTGTTTGTTTATTTTTTCTTGATCCCTTCACCTTTATTTTCACTCAACCCCCTAACTCCCCTCCCCTCAGATAGTGGTCAGTTTGTTCTCTATAAGTTGGTTTCTATTTTGTTTGTTAGTTTACTTGGTTCATTAGATTCTACACATGAAAGAAGTCATTCTTTCTCTGACTGGCTTATTTAACTCAGCATAATGCTCTCCAGGTCCATCCATGCTGTTATAAAGAGTAATATTTCTTTCTCCTCCTGCTCCTCCTCCTCCTCGTCTTCCTCCTCCTCCTCCTCCTCCTCCTCCTCCTCCTCCTCCTCGTCCTCCTTCTTCTCCTCCTCCTCCTTTTCTCACCCAAACAGTATTCCATTTTGTAAATGCCACAGCTTTTTAATTCACTAATCTACTGATGGTCACTTGGGCTACTTCCAAATCTTGCCTATTGAAAATAATGCTGCAATAAACATAGGATGCCTATAATCTTTTGAATTAGTTTCCCAGCTTTTTGGAGATATTCCCAGTTTTGTTTTTAATTTTTTAAGATAACTTCATACCACTTTTCATAGTGGCTGCATCAATCTGCATTCCCACCAGCAGTGCACAAGGGTCTACATCTTGCCAACACTTTTTTGTGGACTTATTGATGATAGCCTTTCTAATGGTGTGAGGTGATAGCTCATTGATGTCTCATTGTGGTTTAATTTGCATTTCTCTGATGATTAGTGACGTTGAACATCTTTTCTTGCCTATTGACATCTGTACGTCCTCTTTGGACAGGTGTCTGTTCAGGTCCTTTGCCTATTTTTTAACTGGGTTGTTTGCTTATTTTCTGTTGAGTTGTATAAGTTCTTTATAAATTTTGGATATTAACCCCTTAGCAGATGTAACATTGGCGAATATGTCCTCCTATTCAGTGGGCTGTCTTTTGATTTTGTTTATGGTTTTCTTTGCTGTGCAAAACCTTTTTAGTTTGATATAAATTTTTTTGTTGTTGTTGTTTCTCTTTCCTGAGGAGATATATCAGGAAAAAATATTGCTACGAGAAATATACAAGATTTTACTACTTATGTTTACTTCTGGGATTTTTATGGTTTCGAGTCTAATGTTTAAGTATTTAATCCATTTTGAGTTTATTCTTGTGTATGGTCTAAGAAGGTGATATATGTTCACTTTTTGCACATATCTGTCCAATTTCTCCAACACCATTTATTGAATATACTATCTTTATTCTATTGTACGTTTTATGTTTTATCTCCTTTGTCAAATATTAATTGACCATATAGGTGTGGGTTCATTTCTGGATTCTCTGTTCCATTGATCTACTGTTTTATGCTGTTTTGATTATTATGGCCTTGTAGTATGGTTTCATAGCAGATAGTATGATTCCTCCAACTTCGTTCTTCTTCTCAATAATGCTGTGCTAATCGAGGTGTTTTGTGGTTCTATATAAATTTTTCGAATATTTGTTTTAGTTCTGTGAAATATGTCATTGGTATTTTTATAGGAATTTCATTGAATCTATACTATATTGCTTTAAGTAATGTGGACATTTTAATGATATTACATCTTCCTACCCATGAAGTGGTATATGCTTTACTTGTTTGTATCATCTTGCCTTTCTTCATTTTAATTTTCCAAGTACATGTCTTTTACATCCTTGGTTAAATTTATTCTAAGTATTTTATTTTCTGATGTAACTGTAAATGGGATTGTTTTCTTAGTTACCCTTTCTGATAGCTTGTTTTTAGTATATAAAAATGCAACTGGTTTCTGGATATTTATTTAGTATTCTGCTACTTTATTGAATTCAATTATCAGTACTAGTAGTTTCTTGATGATCTTTAGGGCTCTCTATATACAGTATCATACCATCTGCAAATAATGACAGTTTTACTTCTTCCTTTACAATTTGGATGCCTTTTATTTCTTCTTGTCTGCTGTGGCTAGGACTTCCAGTACTATGTTGGATATGGTCTTAAGGGAAATGCTTATAGTATTTACCAATTGTGTATGATGTTGGCTGTGGGTTTGTCATATATAAACTTTATTATGTTGAGATATGTTTCCTTCTATTACCTCTTTGCTGCGAGTTTTTATAATAAATGGGTTTTGGGTTTTATCAGGTGCTTTTTCTACATCTGCCAATATGATCAGTGGTTTTTATCCTTCATTTTGTTTGTGTGGTGTATCACATTTATTGATTTGCAGCTGTTGAACCAGCCTTGCATCGCAGGAATAAATTCCACTTGATCATGGTGTATGGCTTTTTTGTTTGTTTGTTTGTTTTTGTTTGTTTGTTTAATGTATTGCGGATCCGTTTGCTAATATTTTGTTGAGGATTTTAGCACCTGCAATTGTTTTTAAATTTGTGCCATCTTGTCAAATACATCATAAGTTCTTGAAGTTAGAAACCTTGGCAAATACTAACTCGTATTCCACTTTTTTGTCTTGATCATACTAAATTTTCCCTTACTAGTCTTTGCTGAATTAATGGGAGAAAAAGGCATCCTTTTCTATTTTAATCTCTTATATTTTATGGATTCCATCTGCTGGATGAATCTAGCAGACAGAAGTCTGGAGGCAGGATTGGGGATTTTGTTGGAATTACAATTTGTTGAGTCTTATTGAGTCTGTTACTGCATTCCCAATTTCCCTTGCAAATATGGTTGGCATCTAATGGAAAGTCATAAATCAGTGATTCAGAAGGCTTCTAGTTCTATGGCTGAGTCTGTGAAGACACTTGGCATAGCATCGAGGAATGGAGCGAGTCTTGTTATACCAGAGGCTTGGAGTCAGGCATTGGGGTATGAACCTCTCATAACTTAACAGGCTAAGCATCTTCGGACAAGCCTCAAAATGGCCCAGGTTTCCACAACTGTGTAGCATGAATTACAGTAGTGCCTTTTGACTTGTTGGGTGGGCTAAACAAGATTCACTAATTCACTTAGTAATTATTTATTGAATACTTCAGGCACTATTTTAGACTCTGGAGATAAGCTGTAAACAAAATGGACAAAAATCCCCACCTCGTAGCATTTATATTCTAAAAATGTAATACACATGATAGCATTTCATAATGTTTCATTCATTTAGTATGAGGTTATCTGATGAACTCACACAATGGGTTTTTACTGCATATTGCCATAGGAATTTATGTTGCAACTCCAGGTAATTAGAGCCATAATTAAGTCTCCTGTCGGAATTGGGTATGTCCCATTAAGTAGTATATTTATATGTTCTTGCTAATCCCCACTTTGTTGAGAAAGTCTGTTCCCTACATGAGAGTGCTGTCATTTTTGCTCTACAAAGTGCTTGAACCAAACAGTCCAGCATTGGCTGAGGTCCAGGGGCTGCAGGTGGTGGTGTGGCCAGGTGGTCCCCACATTGTTTTCTCAGTCATTGGTGTTCTCACTATCTGGGATTGCATGCAGTTTTACAGAGTTGCTGAAATGTTTGTTTGTTTATTTGTTTGTTTGTTTGTTTGTGGAAAGAAGACGAAGGACTAGCATGACCAATTAAAATCAAACCATATTTTAGTGAATAATTTTAACCTTTCCTCTCCAAACTTTTGATCAGCCAGACACCAAAGAACAAGATGACAGATTCGAGGTTTCCATTCCTCTTTTTTTTACTGCCTCCCCTCTGGCATTTTTCTTTGAGCATCAAAATGCCCAGAATCTATGAAAAGAGAAAGAGCAAACCTGGAAAGCAAACCTCAGAGAAACAGCTCACTGCCCATAACTATAAGGTGTGTGTCCTTTCCAGACACATCCTCCATCCACTGCCATTTTTCAAACACGGTACTTCTCCGGCTCTCCAAATGGCAGGCAGCCCATTTAGTTAAAAATGTAAACAGGAAATTGTTTTCTGGCTCAATAGCCTGTGTGGCCTGGAAAAAATGGTCATTTTTGCTGAGACATGACTTTAAAAACTCTCATGCAGTAGGGGAAGCTGAAGGCTGATTATAAGCTAGCCCTGCCCCAGACTTAGGCCTGGGATAGGGTATGGATGTGGGAACTCCCATATGTGGGTTCAGAGCATTTATCACCTTTGGACAAAGGCACAATGGACACAACTGGTGAAGCTCCTGTCACGAGAAAGCAGCTATCATGCAGGGCAAGGAGGCACAGTAATGCTCCCAGGATTACCGGACAAGCTTTAGCTGGAAGAACTGACTGGCACTGGTGACATGTCTGGGTTCAGTGCTTCTCTAGTTGCTCCAGCTCCCCATCATGTGGCCTTCCATGGACCTCCTGTGCTCCCACTGTGGTTTCCCTGTGTGCTGATGAGTTTTCTGGTTGTTATGTCTTGCAGCCCCCCGAATCCAAGCCCAACTTCACCCCTCTCGCCATCTTGGCCCATGTTCTCGGCGCCATCCAGCCCTATGCCCACCTCATCCACGTCCAGCGACTCATCCCCCATCAGGTCTGTGGCAGGGTTTGTTTGGTTTTCTGTTGCTGCCGTTGTTCTCTCATTGGCTTGGTCCTCTCTTCATGCAGTGTTCAGCCTCCTCGTCAACTTTGTTCCCTGCCATCCAAATCTGCACTTGCTTTTTGACAGGCCAGAAGAAGCAGTTTGTGAAGACTCCAGGTAAAGTCACGGATCATGGCCAATCCAGTTCGTTTATCCAGAGGCGGTCAGAGACAGCGGGTGGCCAGCCTCTGCACCCCCACTCCCCCAATTCCAGCCTAAGAGCCAAAGCTGGGAGGAACCATTCTCATGAACCAGCCTGGCCTTTTCCACACCCTTCGGAACCTTCCTTCTGTTTGAATTAATAATCTGTGATAGTTGCCCTGCCGGTGTGCTCAGTGGTTAACTGTTGATCTATGAACCACGAGGTCACAGTTCGATTCCTGGTCAGATCACATGTTCCAGCAGGGGGCTCGATCTCCAGTATGGGGCATCCAGGAAGCAGCTGATCAATGATGTTTCTATCTCTCCCTCTCCCTTCCTCTCTGAAATCAATAAAAATATATTTTAAAAAATAATCTGTGATGCTTAAAGTTTGGGGAAAGAGTGCCTCCTGAATGGGTTTCTATGTGGCTCACTCTGAGTCATGGAGCTGTTTGTGCTTTGGTATTAGATGATTTGAGAGGGAACAGTGCTGAGACATGTGCTGGCTTTTTCTTCCCTCATTTTTATTAGGTAGCGTCAGGCAACATTTTTTTTCTTTGTGGCCACTGAGTACTGACACCTAATTGCTGAGACCAGACCACTGGGAGAGAGATGAATATAAACCAGAATATAAACCAGAATAAATAAGTGATTTCTCTTTAAATTGTTCATGGCCAGCTCCTTCCCTCTATGCACTCCCAGGAATCGTCAGTGCTCCCAGCCTACTCCTGTCTCCATGTACAATGAACTGTTAGCTCTCATGGGAGCAGCCAACACCTCTTTCTGAGGATTGACTTAGTTCCTCTCCCCAAGGCCCATGCTATAGTTTTCCTCACTTTGGTCATGTCCAGACTTAATTCTCTGCACTTGAGTTCTTTGAAGAAAAGAAGCTATTTAATTGCAGGAAAATAATTAACTAATGAGAACCCTGAAGGATCCCTCTACTATAAAGGTCCTCGGCTATGTGTGTTTCTCAAACTTAGTCTCTGCTGTCCAACAGTCAAAATGTAGAGCCCAATTATAAGCCTCATAAGCATTTTGGGCCTTGGCAGTATTTTCTCATCCATCTTTTTCTCCTAGCTGATTTTTTTCCTAAGGGACAGGTCCAACAGAGAGGCTTAAATAATTTATAAAGATGAGTCTCACTTAGAAAAACAACAACTCAATGCTCTTTATACACAGATGTGTATATATTACTTTATTGTCCTCCACATACTTTTATATCTATAATATCATTTCATTCTATCCTTGTATGAGAATGAGAGAAGAAATGCCTTGAACCCTATGACAGGGAGAGAAAACTAAGGCACAAAGAGGTGATTTGTACAGTCACGTGGCTAAACTAGAGCCAATCCAGAATTCAGGACTACTGCCCTCAGCCCCGCAATCTTTCTGTCAAACATATGGGTGGTCCCAACTTCAAGGTTCTGTGAAACTTTCAGCCCCAGAGCCTGTCCTGGTCTTGGAGGGTTTCTATTGTACCTAGCTTTGTCCCAGAATGAGAAAGATAACTTTTCAGTATATCCTTTTATCTTCACCCAGGAATGAGGTAAATATTCAAATCATATTTTCCTGACACAAGTCATTTCCTAATTATTTCTTAGACACATTCTGGGCACTTTGGGAAATGTCAACTTTCTAGAACACTAGATATGGTAGATATGGCATTAATGCATCTGATTAGATCACTGATTATCCATGAGGACCTGAACCAGAGCAAACCACAGCGACCAGAGACAGTTACCTTCCAAATGCCTCCCTCACTCATAACAGAGACTTGGTCGTTTTGATAAAAAAGGAGTAAAAATTCAAGACACTGGCTTCTTGGACAGGATAAATTAGGAGACTCAGGACAGTAGAATCATTCAGCTAAAAAGCTGAAATATACTCTCTGCTTTGAGATTATTCACTTTTTTGTGTGTGTGTCTGAGCTTTGGCAGAGGACTGAGCAATAGAAGCTTCTCACTGCTGTGTTTTGGGTCATGGTTACTCAGCACTGCCTTTACGGGCCATGGTTAGAGCAGCACCATTTGAAGATACTGTTCCACAACCCTGTAGGAAGCTACCATTTTGATATATGCAAGGCTGAGTATGGCTTACAGTTAGCTTTCACTGAACTATGATAAATATGTACTGGTATGCCAAGGTGAGCACGGATATGGACAGTAGTAGGGATCTAGCACATCAGAGCTTGCCAACAAAGAGGGGTTAAAATCCCATAACTGCCGTAGCAATATAGAGCCAAGAACTGGGGTGTATACCTATTATTCAGGTCCAATGGGGCCTTCCCCCAAATCTACTTCCAGAATGTGAACTTCAGATTTCCTTTCCTAGGAGAAAAGATAAAAATAAGTACTTTATTACACCTAATTAATGGTCTCCTAAATGTCCACTTAGTCTCGCCTAGAAGTGGCTTCCTCTCCCCTCTTCAAAGCAACTTTAGTGCTTGTTAGTTCAAGCTCAGAAACGTGGCTGCCTTTCATTCGTAACCCCAGAAAAGCACCCAGCCCCAAACCCATAACTTGCATTTGCACAGGGGCCTCTGGAAATGGTACCTAAGTGATTAAGCCATTGTATCCTGCCAATCTATCAGGCCCCACCTCCCTGTCATGCCATACCATGGAGAGTGGGTCTTCATTTTGATAGGCTTGCAAGGGCATTTGAGGAAAACTCCTCTGAGTGCTTTCCTGGCCTGGTGCCATGCTCAGAGGCAAAAATGAAAAATAAACTGGCAAAGGGTTCCAAACTTGTTCATGCCCTTGAAGGCCCAGCTAAGATCTGAAGGGCGCTGTTACAGGAGCAGCCGAAGGCACCCCAGGCTCTCTATGTTCAGTGCTGAGAGGCACAGTGGAGAAGAGGGAGCCAAAGAACCAAAGATGCTTGCTAGGGATTTTTTATTTTTTTGCTCAGAGCCAAATCCTGCAAACAAGAGCTGTTTGGGTAGGAGCCCTACCTAAAGCAAACTGTTCAAGGCTTTTGCAGGGAATATGGCATGGGACACTGGACTTGCTGAGCTGACACACTTTTAAAAATGATAAGACTCTTTTCTGGGTAAAGTTGCCAGATTCATCCAATAAAATGAATACCCAGTTACATTTGAATTATAGATAAACAACAAAAGATTTTTTGATTTTTTGTTTGTTTGTTTGTGGGTGTTTTTTTTATTGTTTGTTTGTTTGTTTTTGTTGTGTTTTTTTAGTGTAAGTATGTCTCCTGAAATATTTGGGATATACTTATACTAGAAAGTATCCCTTATTGATCTGAAATCCAAAGTTGTCTAGGTATCTTATATTTTACTTGGCAGCCCTTGTCCTGGAGAATGGAGGTGGTCTCCTTCTGCCATTCCTCCCATCTCTGTGCATGTCCCAAGGGGGGGCGGGATAAGTCACAGGGGAAGAGAACTTCTCACAGACCATCAGTCACCTATTAATTTGAAGGAAAAGCAAGGCCCTTTCCTGACCTTTGTTTTTATTTATTTATTTATTTTTACAATTATTTTTTTTAATTCTCACCTGAGGAGGGCCCGCTCATTGATGTTTAGAGAGAGAGAGAAGCATCGATGTGAAAGAGAAACATGGTTAGGTTGCCTTCTGAATGTACCCTGACCAGGGATCGAACCTGCAACCTAGGTATGTGATTGGGAATCAAACCTGACACCTTTCTTTCATTTCTTAGGACAACACTCCAACCGACTGATTCACACCGGCCAGAGCTGTGTTTATTTTTATTGTTCTATTTCATTGTCACTTCACTATTCAATTCCAAAAGCCTAATAGTTGGGCACTTTACCCTCAGCTTTCCTCCTACCAGATATCCCAGTTGGTTTCCCTGGCTTGCCCCTATTTGTTCCCAATCCCTTTATTTAATGAGATTAATAAGTAACCACTATGAAAATTCAGCTGAAGGGGCCTGGCCTCAGCTGATCTTTCCCGCACCTTTTATTTCCCTGAACTCAGTCTCTTGGGGCTCTCCTCACCCGCTCTGCCCTGTCCTCAGGGTGCAGTGGCCTGGCTAATGTCCACTGAGCTCTCCTTCCACCTTCCATGTCAGGAAGGGCTCTACTTGTCAGTATAGGGATTAGGTGATTTAGCACTTTTCACAGCCAGGTGACTTCTCTCTGCTCCCCACTCCCAGAAAGGAAGGAAGGAAGGAAGGAAGGAGGGAAGGAGGGAAGGAGGGAAGGAGGGAAGGAAGGAAGGAGGGAAGGAGGGAAGGAGGGAAGGAGGGAAGGAAGGAAGGAAGGAAGGAAGGAAGGAAGGAAGGAAGGAAGGAAGGAAGGAAGGAAAATCAAAAACAAAAACTATTTTTTCTTCCCGGAAAGTTGCAGGTGGGATAGTTGGCCCTTGATGGTCAATACACTGACTGGGTTTGGTTATCTCACAGAATGTGCCCCTCGTTCTGAACTTTATTCTGGTTAATGATAATTACCCAGAAAGAACTCTTTTCCATTGGAGCTGATGAATTCTAAAGGCTGTTCTTTCCCTCATTCCCAGAGGTCCCACTTCCTTTTTTTCCTGAGTTTCCCTATTTTCTCCCACCTGGCCATCATCTCGTGGCTACTAGAAGACCAGAGAGAATGCAGTAAACTGCACCGTGGCAACAAATTCTGGATAGTCATTTACTCTTATCATTCTGCCCAGTAGACCTTTTCAGCCCTCTTTCCTTCCGTTTTCAAGGAGGCCAGACTAGAAGTTCCAGATGCCTGGCCCTGGGATGGGTGTCCAACCATCCAGGGCTTCTCTTTCCCAAAGGGTAGCTGTCTTGGTGATTCCAGGAAATAACAATTCCGGAATGACCCACCATGCCCCACCCCTTCGGAGTCTGTCTGGATTTACCGGACACCAACCATTCCTCAGCTATATCTCATTTGGTCCCTAGAAATCGGTGCATCATGGGAGGCTTAGCACCACTGGCTCCTTGCGGCCTCCCATGAATCACATGAAGATAAAATAATACTGAATATGCCTCCAGGAATTGTCTCACCCACAGCACCTATGTCTGGTTTGCTATTCTGCTCTGGAACTCCTACATGAGCTTCCTCAGAGGGCTTGGAGGGAGGAGGAAATTGCTTTTATCAAATAAAGAGCCAACTTGGCTGTTAAATGTAATTTTTCTTATGACCCTGAGAATTCCATAGATCATTCGGAACTAGTTGGATGTCAAAGCAGAATTTTATAGAACTTAATAGGATTTACCTGTTTTCACAGTTTACTCTCTGGGACACGAGTTCGCATTCTGTGGTCCGTGGGTCCAATCTGGCCCACCACCTGTTTTTTGTAGTCAGCGTTTGATGAAGCCCAGCCACACATACTTGCTTACAGGCTGTCTATGGCTGCTTCCGGGCTACAATGCAGAGTTGAGTAATTATACCAGAGACCATATGGCCCACAAAGCCTAAAACATTTCCTGTCTGGCCCTTTACAGAAAAAGTGTTTCCACCCCAACTCTAGAACAGTGGTTCTCAGCCCTGTTGCACACCAGAGTCCCTTGGAGACCTTTTTAAAATCCTGATGCCTCTCTATTCATATCTGCAAGCCAGGCTAGAACCCAGCCATCTGCAGTTTTTTAAAAGCTCCCCAGGTGATTTTGAGACACTATGAGAGCAGTTGTCAACATTCATTGGACATGAGAAGGGGGGGGAAATGCATTGTGCCCCCCCTCCCTTCTTCCCACACATGCTCACGTGTGTAACCACTCACTGGCATACCTTGTCTATTCCCTGCCCTCCCTGGCGGTCAGGGAGTTCCAGCTCTGGAATCCTGCTCCACCAGCCCCATGAGAAATCAGTAACATTTGGAGAAGCTGATGTCAGCCTGTGGCCCAGAGTGGAAACTTGGCTTTGCTGGAATTTCTCCTTTTTGACTCACTGAGCACTGCCCGCTCTCAGCAGGCTCTGCTGGGAGTGTTCTCTGTGCACTCTGGAAGTCCTCTCCACCCTTCCTCCCTCCTCTCCAGCCTGCCCTCCCACTGTTCTGCTGCTGTAACTGCTGGGTCAAGTTTTAACTTGGCACAAGGTCACCCTACAAGAAGTGCAGTTTCTCAGGATTCATGGCTTTTCTCTGGATAAATATTTCCCTCTCTCTCTCTCTCTCTCTCTCTCTCTCTCTCTCTCTCTCTCTCTCTCTCTCTCTCTCTCTCTCTCTCTTTTCCCTGGTGACCTTTGCAACTTTTCCGCCTCATGTTGTACCCACTGGTTACCTGGTTAGACTCTTCCCACCCCAGAGGACCAGGTGGCTCACAATGAAGGGGAAGAAGCGAGGAGAAATATCTGGAGCTTTCAGAGGGTTTTTAAACATTGCTAACTAAACGCCTGTCTTCACACAGCACCCCGTTCCGGAAGGCAAAAGCCTTGTATGCCTGCAAAGCTGAGCACGACTCAGAGCTCTCGTTCATCGCAGGCACGGTCTTCGATAATGGTGAGTTTTCTTGTCCCTCACAAAGATGGGGGCAGCAAATAAGTAACTGGAGTCTTCTAAGTCCCTGCCTAAGGAAAATCTCAGTTGAATAGATAAGATTGAAAATGAGTGTGCTTGTGTGTCCTTTCCCAAAATGAGAGTAGCAGTGGACCTTCAGACTGAAGGGTCCCCGCTTCGATTCTGGTCAGGGCACATGCCTGGATTGCAGGTTTGATCCCCAGTGGGGGTAGGGGGGAGGTGCAGGAGGCAGCAATCAATTATTCTTTCTCATCATTGAGAGATATATATATACAATATATATATATCCCTCTCACCTCCTAACTGAAATCAATAAAAATATATTTTAAAAAAACGTGTGGTCAGCCCATATGGGCAGTCTTGGCACAGGGTCATGGACCATCCCTCCTACTGCCTGCCTGGGACCCAGAAGTACAGGGCAGTCAAGGCTCACAGGTAACACTGGAGAACAGGAACTCTAGATTCAGGCCACTCCATCCAGCTCAAGTCCTGGCTATGTGACCTCAAGCAGAGAACAGAGGATTGTGAGAAAATTGAGATATGCATATCACATATATAAAATAGGTCTCAACACATACTCAGTATTCAATACATTATTATTGTGATTATTGTCATCATTCCATCCATCTTAGACAAGACCCTGACGCTGTCATAGTTCTTGGTGACAGTCTTTCCTTTACAGCTGGTAGGACCCAGGCCTGGATCTCGCTGGGTAGGAGGTAATCACCTTGACTCCTGGGCCCTGGCTCTGTGTTAGGGCCTCCAGGTCCAAGCCAGATCAGAGATGGGCTCCTGGGACCAGCCTTGACTGCATCTGTATGCCAAGGGGCTGCCCCGGGTGCATGGTCCCTGCGCTCATCATGGCAGGGATTCTGAGCAGGCACAGGTGGAAATGATGGATCACAGGGCGCCTGGGAGTTCCCAGCTCACGCCTAATGCTGGACCTTCTCAGCCAGCAGGGCTCGGTGTGAGCCCATAACTGCATATGGCCTGTAGGGCTTGTGTCCTCTTTGATTGTCCTCAGAGCCCCGAAAGCACTGTCCTTAAACCTTTGCTCCATTTTCATGGGCCCTTTGCAAGTCAGAGCGCACAGCCAGCACCCCCATGAGCAGCTGGGGCTTTCAGGCCCCAAAAGACCTGCAGGAGAGTGGGTCCACAGAGGGCTGTCCAAAGCCATGTTGTTGGTGAGTGTTCCCTGAACAGGCCCACATGGCCGAGTCACAACCCAGCCATCACGCAACACAGCTGCCACAGCAGACAAACCAGAGTGGTCTGCATACAGGATTCTTTGTCCTGCTCTGTCTGCAGGGGAGGGGCTGCCCATAGATTCCCAGGATTTGAGAGAGCCCCACCTTCACCGGTGAATTGAGTTTCAAGATCTGTTCTCTAAACCCTAATTCACTGTTCCCCTGGGCAAGGGACTTGCCATGGTCTTACCAGCTGTTCACTCTGACAACAAAGAGGACCCCTGAGTGCAGGGACAGAATTGGTCTAAGCTCCCAAAGGAGGGTGTGTGTGTGTGTGTGTGTGTGTGTGTGTGTGTGTGTGAGATTTGTGACTCCTTTTCTCGAGTGTAAGCCTTCTTCCATTTTTTAAAACTTTGATGTTGAGATATTCACAATCCATAAAAGATAACCATGTAAAATGTACAACTCAGTGGTTTGTTTGTTTTTTAATATATATATTCAGAGTTGTGCAACCATACCCACTGTCTAATTCCAGAATATATTCATTACCCCCAAAAGAAATCCTGTACACTTTAGCAGTCAAGTCCCAGGTACCTCTAACCCTACCCCGTCCAGCCTAGGTAACCACTATTCTTTCTGTCACCATAAATTTGCCTGCTTGGATAATTCATATAAATGGAATTACACAGTACGTAGCCTTTCTAGTTGGCTTCTTTCACTTAGCATCTTTTCAAGGTTCATCCATGTTGTATCATGTGTCAGACCTTCATTCCTTCTTATTGCTGAATAATGTTCCAGTGTATGAATATATCACATTTGATTAATCCCTTTGTCAGTGGATGGACATTTTTATTATTTCCACTTTTGGCTGCTATAAACATTCATGTACAAGTCTTCGTGAGGACATGTATTTTCCATTTTGGTGATATACCCAGGAAAGGGATTGCTGAGTCCTACAGTAACTATGTTTAACTGGTTAAGAAGCTGCCAAGCTGTTTTACAAAAGGGATGCAGCATTTTACATTCCTACCATTTGTTTTTAAGTCTTCTGTTTGAAGTAGTTTAAGGAGCTAACCACAAAAAGAAAAAGGAAAGATAAGTAGGTAATTTTAACTGCCAGGTCCTTTCCTCCCCATCCGGGTGCTCTGCCTCGCAGCCCTGGGATTCTCCCACCCCACACGCATAGTCGTCACAGACCCGTCCTGCCAAATGAGCACGAGGGAGGCCTGGTTTAAGAAGCAGCATTGCCCAAGCCTCCGGGGCCTCTGGGAGTCGTGGCAGAGGTCACTGACACTCGTTTGTTTTTAATCAGCAATGCCAGTGACCTTTCCAATTCCCTGAAGAGCAAAAGTCCAGATTCAGCCCAGAAGACACCTTTCAGTGTTTAGTTCGAGCTGCAGAGGAAGGATCTGACTAAATGTTGCTCCACTTTATGGACTGGTTTGGCTGATAGCATTTTATTATGTCTAATTTTGGGGAAATGCTACATATCCTCTGTTTTCCCCTTCCCTTCACAGGCAGTAGAGGAGGAAAACCCTATTTACACGTCAGGCAGGGAGATCTCTTTCTTTGTTCTGTCTTGTTAATTTAGTGCTGGAGATACAGGCAAGGACTGTTTGTGTAGAATGCTCTGCAGCTGTTAGATGAAGTTATCAGTCCAATTCGAAGAAAGTTTCCTAATGACAGGGTTGGAGTCCATGAGTGTGTGTGTTTTCAGGACCAAGAAGAATAAATAAGGAGGGGAAGAGGGGACAGTCTGGTGTTTCGTAGTGACTCATCCCCAAGGCTGGACTCCAGGGGCCCGTGCTGTGCAGTCAGTGCTTGGACTTTGTGCAACTGGGAGTGGATGTGCAATACTCGGAAATAACTCTATGGCAGCCCTTGCCATCTACCCGGAAACTGCCCACTTCCCCAGGAGCCGGCACCTCCAACAGTAACTGGAAAGAGAAATAACGCATGTTCTCAGGAACATTATTCACCTTGAAGCTACGTGATTAGCAATACCTGGAAAAGTCACAGGGTGTTCACTAAAATTGAATTCTTTTCAAGATTGGAGATGGACTGGATCCATTTGTCTCCAGAGTCCAGGGTGCAATGTGAGTGTAGGCAGGGCTGCCCCCGGTCCCCTTGGCTGGTGGGGACCTTCCCCAGGGCCGCCAAGCCGCTCGGGCAGTAGGCTGCAGGGGGTTCCTCTATGGAGTCTCCAGCCTCCCAGCCCTTTCTGCTACCAAACCCAAGCTGCCTCTCTCTCTCTCGCCTGGTGTTTCCACCGGCTGCCTGACTGGCCTCTTCCCATTCTCTTGCCCTCATCCCATTCTCCACCCAGCAGCCAGGGTGACCTTTGGAAAATGGAAATCACATCATATTATTCTCCTGCTTAAAATACTCCAGGGGCCTCCCGTAGCTCTGAGAATCATTGACAAGGCCCTCCACAGTCCAGGGCCTGCCCCTCAGGCCTCCTGACCCTCCCTCCATACACTCCAGCCTCACAAGCCTTTATGTTCTCAGGTGGGGTCAGCCAACTGTAATCTGCCAGTCAAACCCAACCCACTGCCTGTTTTTGTAAATAAGACTTTACTTGAACACAGCTACCCACATATCTTTCTTATTTATTATAGACTAGAGGCCCCATGCACTTGGGGAGATAACGGGGGGTTCCTCAGCTCGACCTATACCCTCCTGCAGTCTGGGAGCCCTTAGGAGATGTCCAGCTGCCACGGAGGCAGGAGAGGCTCCTGCTACTGCTGCTGCGCTCACCAGCCATGAGCCCGGCTTCTGGCTGAGCAGCACTCCCCCTGTGGAAGTGCACTGACCACCGGGGCCAGCTCCTACATTGAGTGTTTGCCCCTGGTAGTCAGTGTGTATCATAGTGACCGCTCGTTCTGCTGTTCGGTCGATTTGCAAATTATGCCTCCCCCAAGAGCAGAATCTTGTTTGCTTGCTCTGTAATATGTGAACTGTCTGGCACTGGTAGGTGCTTAACAAACACTTGTTAAATGAGTAAATGCATCCAAACTCCACTCTTCCAGTCGGTGCTGCTTCTCCATGGGGCAGCTGGCCATTAAGGGTCTTAGTCACACACTTGCACCTTGTCCACTGTGAGCGAAGGAGGGGAGAGAACATGAGCTGTATATACAGGGGTGTGTGGTGTTATATGGATAGAGCTGAGAGAAAGTGGTTGGCAGGAAGCGCACCCATGTCAGCAGCAGCGTATATTTATTATATGCTTGCTGGGCTGGAGTGCTTCCCAGGCAGCTCTCCACAGCATCGTGTGTGTTTACATAGCGCATTGGACACTGGTGCAATTCAGAAGGCTGGACACTGGCATATAGTTCAGCCCAACAAGTACTTATGAGCATCTTTGATGTCCAGAGCATTGGGTTGAGCCAGAGTGGTCGTGGTTAAGACCACAGACTCTGGGGTCACACATTCTAGCTTTAGATCCACCTCCATCATCTACCAGCTGTGTAATTTGGGGCAAGATGCTTAACCTCTCTGAACCTCAGTTTCTTATCAGTAAAATGAGGATAATAATAGAACCGTCTCTGTAGTCATTCTGAAAATGAAAGTGGGTGATGCTGGCCAAGCACTTAGAAAAAGACCCTCCACTTCGTACACTCATGTCAAACTCACGGCTCGAGCACATGCTTGACTTTGTATGTGCTCCACATATGTACCATCATTCTCATCCTCAAGAACTACATTCTCTGGTAGAATATAGGCATGCCATTATAGAACAGGCTTAGGCTCTGGAGTCAAACAAGCTGGGTTCAAATTCTGGCTCTACCATTGTGACCCTGCACAAGTTAACTTACTTCTCTGAGCCTTCATTTCCTCATCTGTTAAGTAGGGATATTTTAGGTCAAATGAGTCAATAGATACCTAAAGCTTTGAGCCCATGGCTGTTTCCCAGTCACCATTTCTAGGTGGTAGCTTCTATCATTTTAAATTCATCAAGCACAGAGGAGGAATGACAAATGTTGAATGATATAATACTAGTTAGGGAAGCAGAGGTGGGGTGGGGAGCTGGTGCAGTCTCCCTCCTCGGTGACTTAATGAAAATTTGCATTTCAGTTCTTATTGCCACCCTCATTACAGAGGCATTGTGGTACAGAAAAGCTATAACCCTTAACTTTCTTTGAATTAGTTAAAATAAAGGTTTCTAGTCCCCACTCCTTAGATTCTGCTTGAACTGATGCACCATGGGGCCTAGGGACCTGTAATCTTAATAAGCCTCGAGGTGGGTTTCCCCCCCTTTAATCAAACCTGTTTTGAAGACTCCAGTGAGGCAGCAGCCTGGCCCAAAGGCTGAATTGTTCCCTGCAGCCCCCTGTAACACCCCTCTTGTTCTCCAATTTGGAGGACCTCCTTTGTCCCGATTCTTCCCTTGCTCTGCAAATTCCATGCCTAATGTTTACAGACACTGCCACCTCAGCACCTGAGCTGTGTTTGCACAGCTGACAGACCTGGAAACTGTCTGAAAGACAGGGACTCATGCTTCCAGTGGAGTAGCAACTCACTGGGAGCTCTGCTACAAAGTGGGAGGGGCGTCTTTCTCATATTTTTCTTCTGTTTGGTTGGTTGGTTGGTTGGTTCTTCTCTCTAGGTCTTTTATTTGGGGGAGTGAGTTTGATTTGTTTGTTTGGGGATCTAAGCATTTGAGGTTTCCCAAAGCTTAGGTGGGTGTTTACACCAGTTTTCACCAGGAGAGATGCTTGCTGTCTGGTCCAGGTGGCTGGCAGGATGACACAGGACCCCTATTGACTAACCCATACTGAGCATTTCCTGTGTCCTGATTCTGTGGAGTGCTTTCTCCATGTTGAACTCTCACAAGAGCCGACTGAGGGGAGAGAGTTTTATTATTACCACTTAATAAGTGCAGAAACAGAAACAGTCCTGGCAACATCAGCTGGATGGATAGGTGGAAGGCAGGGATGCTGGTATTCTAGGGGCAGATGAAAGAGGTTGGCCATTGGAGTGGCTAGTAAGTTGATTTTCAGCTGTGTTATGTTCTTCCTAGACATTGCCCTCCCAGATTTTTTCCTCATGTGGGGTTCATAAATCCACAAAGTACCCTTGTTACTTTTGGTTTATTCCTGAAGCCCAATGAGAGGAAATGATGTATGCATTTTGAAGGCCACCTCATAGATATTTGGCCTTGTCTTTTCCTGCAGGAATGTTCATGATCTAGACAAGGTTGACCGTGCTCTGTAAGCCTCAGTGTGCGTCCTTCTGCTTCCCCATTTACTCCCCTTACTGCTTCTTTCCCTACAGGCTGAAGCTAGATTTGTATAGTGGCATTGGCAGTAATGCTTTTCTAAAACAAGCACAGGAAGTCACTTAATTAGCCTAGGAAGGGAATAGGGGAAAATTTATTCTCTCCAAACAATCTCGGAAAATTGAAGTTTTCCTAGTCCATTAATAGCAGATGCCCTGCCTCACCCACGTGGTTTGTATATTCCCAGCTCATAAGCATGAACACCCCCCACCCCCACCAAGTCCTGCAGTTCCTTCTTTCTCTCTTCCTACTTTGACTACTTTGTAGACTCAGCTGGATTTTATATAATCTTTGAAATACCACAGTAGTTTCCATGGAGATGGATTATAATGTCACAGAAGTGGATATATATTCTTTGGATATTGAAACACCAGAGAGACATTTTGAAAGTTGTCAGAGAGAGGAAGAGGACCACTTTCAGACTTGTTTACAGAAGGGACGAACATTCTAGAGAACAGGAAAGAAAGCTAAGAAAGGGTATGGGTGGAACAGAGAGAAGGCTATTGAAAGAATATAAAATGCAAAGACAAACAAAAAGACTGCAGAGGGAATTTGCAAGGAAATTAATAGCAGAAGGCAAGGGTCAAATGTATGATTAGAAGCTAGTTATCTTTATAGGCTAGTTCTTAGCAATCCTTTACTAGATGGCCACTCTTTGGCACATGATCAAAACTAGGTAGCTAGATAAGTACATGGATGGATGGGCGGATGGATGGACAGATGGACGAATACATAAATGAATATACAGATGGAGCACCATAACTGTGACTTATAACCTAACTTTTGTCCCTTTTTTTTTTTTAACTTCAAACCAGGACCTTCAGGAAGTCTATGAAACCCTTAAAATTATATGCAGAATATGTAATGTCTATCTCTGTTCCATTTTATTGTTGTGAAAGAAGTCCAGAATAGCCATCATCAGAAGGCTTATGTCCTACAAAAGGTTCAGAAGCTCTGGTTTAAGCAAGCCCTTGGATTATGTAACTTACTGAGCAAACTTCCTTCACCCTCACATCCGCAGAGAAACAGCACACATTCCCCTCCCGCCCTATCTGTAACGTCATGTCTTCTTGCTCTCTCCCCTTCCTGTTACAGTTCACCCATCTCAAGAGCCAGGCTGGTTGGAGGGGACTCTGAATGGAAAGACGGGCCTCATTCCCGAGAACTATGTGGAGTTCCTCTAACCGTGGGCCCAGCAGAACTGCTGAGCTTTCCATGGTATCCATGACAACTGCTGAGTCCAGTGTTGCAGACCATTTCTCTGCTGCCGAGAAGTGCAGGGTGACTGACTCTGCTGCTCCCTGTCAACACCAGTGTTTGTGCGAACTTTGGTGTCACCCATTCCCACGATCATCTCAGCTGACCTGTGGTGTCGTTGCAAGAAACAGAAGTAAATCAGCAGGGGAGGCCATTTGATTTTGAAAACCAAGAGAAAGGCTGGCCCAGCCATCTCTCTCATTCAGCCCCCAAATGGGGAGCATTCCTTTTGTCTCAACAGTTACCCAAATTCCCAGCCTTCTGAAAGTGGAAGATCCTTTAGAGCATGTAGGGCTGGGTCAGGGCTACGAGATCCAGGCTAGGCCATTGCTCTTGTTTACAGCAGACGCTCTCACCCACCTCTCCATCCTCGAGACCCACAGGGCTCCAGCAGCTGGGGCTATTTGTTTGCATGCAGGATGGAGAGGGCTCACAGCACTGTTTACATAAGATCCAATCTCTCACCATCTCCAAAACAGCCTTGGCCCAGCATCAGCAGAATTCAGTCCAGTCCTCTCATGCAAGGGAGCACACACACCCCACATTCCCCTCCTCCCATGCCAGGAACTTCTCTGCCACTGAGGGCTGCCATCGCCTCGTAACCATGGCAACCCAATCTACTCTAAACCAAACCAAAAAAATAACACACTCTCTTTGCATCACATTTTTTTTTTCTTCCCCCTTTTGTGTGGTTTTTTTGAATGATTTTCCAATAACCTGGCGCAAAAGATCAAGAAATGGTCTGCTGAGGGCAGACAGAAAGAATAGCAACTGGGAACTGTTTCCTTTCTGATTTATTTCAGCAGCATCAGGATATATTTGGAGTAAACTTTAGTAACCTCTTGAGATTAAATTACATCTAGGCTTAATATTTCTGTTCTTCCATGCAACTGGTGTTTGCTTCCTAGAGGGCAATATGCCGCCTCCCCATGGGTGACACCCTCCCTTTCCTGCCTCAGTCCCTAATGGCCTCCCGTTTACCTGTCCTTGCCCCTGCCCTCATCTGGCCTCTATCCCATCACTGACCATCCCTGGCAGTTTGCAGATGCCCTGGTGGTTTACAGGGCTGGTTCCTAGGCTAGCCCTATGGTCTATTGTTTAAAAGGACATATATGTTCACTGCCTCTCAGAAAAAGGGAATTATTTCTCAGGCTTTTGAGGCATGAGACTAATGTCATGAGCCATTGTGATTCAAGAGGACACCAAAAGCTTGAGGCATAGAAAGTGGGCATTTCCTGGTCCCCAAGGGGCTGGATGTTGGGTGGGGAAGTTCGGCCTGGACACTCAGATTCACTTGGCCTCCAAAGGACAGAGTCCCCAGGATCTTCCACACTTGAATGTCTTTGCAAGCATGGCTCTGGGTAGACAAACTCTAGACTGATGGATTGTCAGGCTCCTGGACCTCTCCGAAGGCAGCCACGTTTCAGAGTGTGCCCTGCTCCTGGAATTCCTTTTTAGGGAAGTTGAAAGAAGAAAAGAAAAACTTGAATTGTGTTGGATTACTGTATCTTTTACATTTTTTTGAAAAGATAAAACTGTAAATAGAGTGATTTGAAATACTATATGGCAAAGTTTTATATTTGATATTCTTGAAGCTAGTTGCCCCACACATTTTAAGCTTTAATTGCTGAACAAGTGTGTATAAGAAGGAAAATTAGTCTTGTTGAAGGGAGTCAAGGTCACCCCTCCCTGGCCTTGAGGAAGGAAAAAGTATTTCTGTACACACTCTTCTGGCTCTTGTCAGTGGACATAACACATCGATGTTATGCCCACCAGTCTTCTTTATCCAGAGGTGGTTTTGAGCATTTCTTGGGCTTTGGGTTTGGCGATGGAAAGAGCATCTTCAGGCAAAGAATCTTGCCAAGAACTCCTGCTCCTACTCAGCTTAGGGGGCCAGAGCTTAGATTATTTTTTTCATTTTTCTTCTCAGGTGTGTTTCTTGGTACCCCAGGATATCAGGACAGAAGAATATAGGATAGTTGCATACACCTTTTTCTGCACATCTTCTAAGACTTTATGAGTGAAGCCAAGCGAATTTGTAAATGTTGTGTGTGTCCAAGTTCTGAGGAAAACTGGCTTCTTAGGATCTTTTGTTCTCATTATACTGTGGCTTCCCCTTTCCCTGGACATGTTCATGCCCTTCCTGTTCATCTCAGATTTCCTGTAACCCCAAACAAAGGGAAAAACTCCAAAGAGGATTGGAGAATGTGCGGTTAGAGGTTTGTAGCTGGTTTCCAAGTTACTGGGAGTTTGCCATCATGACTCAGTTTGTGGGTTCAGGGTAACCCAGCGACCACCCAGGAGCTCCCCCAGCAGCAGTTGGGACACTACGACAGGTCAGGGAGCAAGGAATAAGACTGGGAAAAATCCAGATAGGACTCAGCAAAGCTGTCACTGAAAACCCAAGAAGGAAATTTATGAATAGACTCCTCCTGCTCCCTGTGGACTTGGAATAGCCTAGGGACCTGTTCCAAGGGCCTGAGAAGACAAGCACACTATTCTGCTGTGCTTCCCAAATAGGAGGAGTGCAATGTGATGCTTTTAACACATTTTATATTGTCACCACCCCGTGGAACCTTGACTAGAACTAACATGGAGGAAAAGTGCAGGCCCTGGCCGGGAGTCCTCACTGGAACGTATCAGTGGACACTTGGGCCCGGCTTGACCACTTGGAAACATGTTCTTCCCTCCTCAGTTGGCCCTGATTTGAAGCCAGGGGGAAATAGAGCTGCTGCTAATGAGAATTTTTAGGTAGATCCCTTCCCAGCATCCTTGTGGCCATGCTGGACCTGTGGCAGATGGCTGCTCTATCTCTTGGCCCAGCCAGGCTTACCCCTCCCCAGAACTGGAGAAATGCATATGAAAGGAGCTGACAAATAGGAAGTGTTCTGGAGACTAAAACTACATTTCCCATCTCCACTGTCTCTGCCTCTCTCCCCCACTCTTTCCCCTTGCCCCAACCCTTTATTGGTTCTACTTGAATGGAGAACTTTAAGACAGATTAGGGGTGTGGACCAGGCTTTAGAGTGGAAGATTGTTGATCAAGGTCCCTGAGCTTCCCCAGGGGGCCTAGTTTCTTTTGTAACTAGATCTGCTGGGCTAACAGAGCCTGAGCCTTTTTTGGGTAATAAGATCAGTCTCTCACCCACTTCAGGTACTCACAGAAGTCTACAGAATGCCATGTCCTAACTAGTTTTAAACCCCTGCCCCCAGGCAAGTAGATTCCTGATTCACTCAAGATTGGTGGTATTCTCTTCTCTTTTCAAAAACAAAGGTATAGGGGTAGACCCAGTATAAGCCTCCTTCCTTGGTTTCCTTAATTGGAGCCAGTTTTTAGCTTACTGTTTTAGTATTTCAACGGCCAATGTGTTTTCTTGTCAGACCAAATGTCTTGTTCAGGCCCATTCAAATTTATCCACTCTTGTTGAGGATTTTGTATTAACAGAGGTAGAGAAAGAGATCAAGACAGTCAAGTTCCTAGTGACAAGGTCTCTCAGGCTCTGGTCAGGACCCCATCGTTGTATGTGCCCTATCTGGCTTGAAAGGAAGTCCTTCTATCAACTGCATTTGTGACTCCTGAAAACAGCAATCCCAGTCTCACCAAAAGTTTAGTCCTGACTCCAGAGACATCCATGATTAAGTGATAGGGAGACAAATAATTGACTGATGATAACTTGACCACCTATTTGTGATTGACTATTGGCACCTTTCATCCACTGGCTTTTCTTTCCAAAAACAAGTCTGGACCACCCATCTTTGTAGACGCAGGACTGCCAGGTACAACAGTGGCCATTGTGGCACCTGCAGTTTCCCTAGTATTGAATGTCTGATGAGCCACCGCATCACCCAAGTGGGTCGCCAGCACTGAAGAAACCAAACAGCCTCTTAGCTGCCTGGCTTTCAAAGGAGTGTCCTAGGTGTTCCGTCCCAGGAGTTATCTGTCATCTCTGGCAAACTCGACAGTAACCAATTACCTAGACAACCCTGCCCCACATCTCTTTAAGCTAGCTGGGTGTCCTCTCACACACCCTGTACTGGTGTTTAAAAAATTTATCTCATGCTCAAATGTGTTTGGCAGCCACACTGATCTGCCAGGCGCAGAACTACTCTGTAATTGTAGTGTCAAAGTGACAACAGCGGCAGCGCATTGCACTGTGCACGATTCCACAGCAGAACCCAGCAGGTTGTCTAACTAAAGAGCTCCCCAAAGCAGAGGGAGAGACCTTAGAGAGTGCAGACTTCATTCAGAGCCAGTCTTTGCTGAATTGTGGTCTTCTAGTGGAAGCACACGGATTCTTGGGAAAGTATTGGGTGTAAAGCAACAATAGGAACAGAGAGAAAGAAAAAGGCGAACCAGACTGAAGAACTTCGAATTTTTTTTAAGAGGTATAAATATAGTTCTTAATACAGGAAGGGGAAAAAATCTATCACAAAAGAAGTTCACCACTGATACCTTTTACAAAAGTTGTACAGGACCCGACGAGATAGAAACATCTTGCCCTAAACCCCATATAAGGGTAGCAGTTACTATCAGGTCAAAATTCTCTTGAGTGTAGTAAGAACCAGAGTACTGGTCATCAAGATGTCGGAATAACCTGGAGAGATCAAGACTTCCTACGCCATTCTGCATGGACCATCCCTACAAAGTTGTTCAGACACCTATGAGCGCCTCCTTGGAGATCCAGATGCCAGAGTCAACCTTGTACCTGTGAAAGTAGTTCATCTAATGATTCTAAAGTATACATGTATCAGTATGTGTCTGTGGATGTATGTATGGTGCACATTTGCACATGTAAAGATACTCATAGAAACTCACATAAACTGGCAGTCACTGAGCCTTTGCAGCCTTTAAGAATTAAAGGCTGAGAATTCAAGAAACAAGAGAAGCTGTTGACTATCAAAATGACCAGACATGTAAATGAAGTGCCATTTTAAAACTTTGTCCATATTAAATGATTACTATCTACAGCTATATTCCATATTAACTTATTAAAAGTCATCTTGAAAAAAAGATCAAATGCATACGTGTTTAGTAGTTAATACTAGACTAGTGTTCCGAAGCACTCTAAAAGACATCTGGACCATGTTTCAGAGAAGAAAATATCTGCATGTTTAATTCATAATTTAGGCTACCTTTGAGTATGTTATAAAAGTGCAGTGTGGTATAATATCAATAAAGTACTCAAAAAATGGCACTTTAATGTTTTTATAAATCATAAATAATGCACTGTTTTAAACTTCAGTTCAGTATTGAATATTGACTGGTGTGTAGAATCCAATTCCGTAATTACAAAGTAATTTGTGACTAGAATAGAACTTTTCTCCTGTTATTAATGAAACAGTTTTGCCATGTTCAAGCTTTAAAATAATGTGCTTTTGCATCACAAAGCATATCTATAAAGAAGTACAATTTCTGTTGAGTGGCCTTGAAACTTGGCCTTCTTACAATTGTTTGGTTTATGTGACAATCCCAATAAAACAAGTGGAAGTATGATTTTTGAATTAAATGACTTTTCCATTTGATGGTCTGTTTTTTTCTTTCGCTTCTGATAACATTTTGACATGCATATTTCAATATATCTTCAAATCAGCAAGGACCATGATCAAACGTCACCCACCTGGCTCTAGGCGGGTTAGCTCAGTGGATAGCGTGTCGGCCTGTGAACCAAAGGGTCCTGGGTTCAATTCTGTTTAAGGACACGTACAGAAGTGGTTGCAGGCTCCTCCTGCCCAGGCCCTGGTTGGGGCTCATGCAGGAGACAACCAATCGATGTGTTTCTCTCACATCCATGTTTCTCTCTGTCTTTCCCTCTCTTGCACTGTTCCTGAAAATCATTAGAAAAGCATCCTTGGCCGAAACCGGTTTGGCTCAGTGGATAGAGCATTGCCTGTGAACCGAAAGGTCCTGGGTTTGATTCCGGTCAAGGGCATGTACCTTGGTTGCGGGCACATCCCCAGTAGGGGGTGTGCAAGAGGCAGCTGATCAATGATTCTCTCTCATTGATGTTTCTAACTATCCCTCTCTCTTCCTCTCTGTAAAAAATCAATAAAATATATTTTTAAAAAAAGAAAAGTATTCTTGGATGAGGATTAACAACAACAAAAGTCACCCACCTGGGCTCCTGTGGGTCTGGTAACAACTTGTTTTGATGTCTGGCATGCTCTGAGCTTCAATTTCCTTTAGGAAGAAGTCAAATGCCGGTGCCCTTGAGGAAGAGCAATCAGGCATGTTAAACAGTTCAGCCCCAAAGAATCATATTCCAATAAACATTTCTGACTTTCTCTCCTGGGTTTTTTCTTCCTAAATTTGATTTTCTAATCAACCATTTTCTGGAACTTCAGAAAAGTTCCAGAAAACTGGAAAAAACTGGTATGGAAAAATCAAAGAGCCAGAACACAGGCAGTCCCACCAATAGCGGGGCATGCCCCACAGGTTTGCAACTCAGTTACTTGCAACATGAATCCCGGGTCACTCGTATTATTCAGGCTTTTTATTCATCATATGCCTTCCAGGCACATACTGAGTGGGAGCCTGGAGGCCGGGTTTACAGGGTGCTCCTGGCTTCTGCGGGGGGCGCCTGGGCTGGAGGACCAGGGGTGAAGTTTCTGGTTCCAGAAGCTTGCCCTGGGGAAGCAGAAGCTCTAGGCCCCCCTGGTGCCTGGTTCTGAGGGGTGGCCATTTGAACGTGCAGTGATGCATGAATTTATACGGTTCTCATTTGTCACTTAACAAGGCACTGGCTTACCCCTCTGAACAGCCCAGACTCGGTACCTGCTGCCTTCACTGAGCTTGCCCCTGGCCTGGAAAATTCCCCCAGCATCTGAAGCCGCATACATATGTGAGGTCACCAAGTACCTCTACAAGGCCCGTGTATCTGATGCTCAACACGCAGGGAACAAAGAATATAGTATGTATGTGTGTCTTTTTTTAATGCTTTGGTCTTTCCAACAGATTTTCCGATCACTTCAACGTTCATGTCTTTTTAGCAGAAAAGGGTTTGTTTGTTTGTTTGTTTGTTTGTTTTTCTTATGCTTTTTCGCTTTGCTTTTAGCAGCCACTGAAGACCAGAGCTCAACTTGTGTCACGTCTCTTGGCTTGTTTGGTGTTTTTCACCTGTTTGTTCTGGTTTATGGTTGGTCATAAGAGCACCTTGGTTAGAAATGGATTTGACTGACACTTGAAAGGAGGTAAATAAAAGATATTCTCAGACCCCAAACATGTTTTCTCTCTTGGGAATTAAGTCAGGGCTTTAATTCTGTCTTTTCTCAGTTCTTTTTCAAACTCCACTCAAATGCACATCTCTCCTACCCAATGTGTCACTGTCATTGGTTTGCCCTGCTTTTAGTAGCACTCAGCTAAGCTGCAGCTAATTAACTCTGCTGAGTGAGTCAGGATGGGCTGAGTTCAGGCTGCACATCAGCCAAGGGAGCCTCTAACCGAGGCGGTTAACCGCTCAGGGTGCATGAGGCTCGTTGCATAGGAGAGGGAGGAGCATGCCTCAATGGGGCTCCATCCTCCAGAATGCCACCCTGCACTACCCAGAGCAAAGCAGGAAGGTTTTAGGTTGAAATGGTCAAAACTTTGACCACTGTATCTCTCAGCACTTAGCCACTCCTCTCATGTGTATACCTGTTTTGTGTCATTAACCTCTTGATTTGCTAAAACCCAGGTATCTCAAAGGCTTTTCCACGGCCAACTAGTGAATTAGGACTTGAATTCATGGGACCTTTCTCAGGTAACAAATCACATTTTACCCTCCAGGCCTTGTGCCCACACTACTGGGATGGGAAGGCTTGCTTCACCTGTGTTAATGAGGCGAAGGAATGGCAGTAAAGAATAGCAGTCTCTCTTTTCCCACCTTTTCTCCTAATCACATCATTTTGCCCCTTTGTAGTATAATACTTTCTACCTATAATTTATTATTTGTCATAAAATGTTTGGGGCCTGTTTTTTTCTCCTAATAAACAGCTCAGCTAGGACAGAGACCAGGCCTTAATGACCCAATGCTGCCCAGCACCCAGCTCAGGCCTGGCACACAGCAGGTGAACAATAGCAAGTGAAAGAACTCAGGTAAAGCGCTACTGTCAGCTCTCATCCCTCCTTCCTGCTTTACTAGAAAGTACTGGGGGCAAGAAAGAAATTGGGTGTCATTAGACTTGGGTGCTTGAATGCAAGGTGACTTCATTACCCTTGGCAGGCTACTCCGCTCGCTCTCGTCCTGGGACTTGGGCCGTGGGCAGAGACTTCCCACCCTCCATTCAGGCACACACAGCCACATTCTTTCCCAGCTTCCTCGCTAGTGCTTGGGGCAGAGAACCATCTGGAGAACTAATTGACCAAAAGCCAAAGACCCTTTGCTGTCACCTGAATTACATATGGTTTATTTTACAAACTTCATACCAGGCTGAGGAACCTGCCTCCAAGCAAACCCACATCAGAATTACTCCCCCCCCAAAAAATAAAAAGTATTCATTTTTCTTTAAGAACCCTTAAAGAAAATTCCATACTGTCCTATGGGAATTTGGTCTGGGATCTAACATTCTCATGAAGGGAATTCTTTGAGTCTAACTGAAGTTCCCAGGATGCAGCTTGAGTACATTTACTTTCTGTTTTTCCTTAGAGTGGAGAACACCTGGCCATCACCTTCTTAGAGCCATCACCCACCATTTTCATGTTTCCATTCAGCCAACACTTCTTGACCATGTCTTGTGCCAGGAGCTGCTGAAACCAGGAGGCATAGATACCATCTCTGCCTCAAGGAACTCACCATTGGCCTCGGTAATAGGCAAGTGTACACGAGACTGCATTAGCCATGTGCTGGCAGGTAGTCTTGGGCTCCGAGGAAGAGTGATCCTTTCTTTCTATTTGGGAGGTAGATACCAGAGAAAGCGTCACTGAAGAAGTGACATTGGAGGTGGTTCTGGAAAGAATGAGATGTGTTTGCAAATGGAAGAGTGTCCAATGCACAAGGACCAAGATATGCAGGAGAGAAGGGGAGAGGTGAGTTCCCTATGAGCAGAGCATGAGGGTTTCTGGGGAACAGTCAACTATTCACCCTCTCCCACCCTCCACCCTAGCCTTTTCTCTCAATGGCCAACAATACCAGCCAACATGTATTACTGTTTTACTAGGTACCAGACACTACATGCGTTAACTCATTCTTGAAAACACGAATGAAGTCCTGAAATTACCCTCATTTTATAGATGAGGAAATGGAAGATCAGGGAGGTCACACAAGCTAGAAAGTGGTGGAACTACAATTCCAACAGAGGTCTGCTTGTATAGCCTCCACGCTCTTAACATCTTTAAAATTTATGTATAGTTATATGCATGATTTTACATCAATGCATAAACACTTTTTAATCGGATGGAAGTTTTTCCTTCCGTTTTTGACTTGGTTCCTCCATCTTCCACACCAGCCTCTTTCTTTTCATAACCAGTGTAAAGAAACCCATGATCCCGTTCAGCCGCGAGCCCTCCAGAAAGCATAGTCTCTGGCAAGCACTCAGCTTTGGCTGTGCAGTGGCTGGAATAAGAGCAGAGTGCATTTTGATTGAAATCTTTTCTCCTAAGAGCCCTGTGCTCTCTCATCTTGGGTGAATAGCTCCCCATTTATGGAGCTCGATGCAGACACTCCTGGTTTTCTGGGCAGCGCCAGGGACCACAGCTGCAGTCTTTGGCCAGTCCCACTGCTCCTGAGGACCCAGCCAGGAGGCAGTTCCTACAGCCCATCTTTGCTCGCTGGAAATATGTAATGTGCAAAAGTGGTTTTTTGGTGTTTTTGTTTTTTTTTAATGTAACAACTTAAAGTCAGCCTGCCTCCTCACATTGATCAGTTGCCAGTGGCAGACCTTTAGGGGATTGCCAGGGAAATCCCATGAGGCTGTGCCTCCCTCTGGGACAGGACCTGTTTCCAGCCTAACCTGCCAAGGCTGAAAGGCAGAGAATTTTCTTGGGATTTTAACCCTCTCTTGATTTGAAAAAAGCCAGAGGAGAGAGCATGAGAAATCAAAGTAAGTGACGGGCAAGTAATTTCAGAGCAACAGAGAGCATCTGCCTTCCACTCGGGACTCTTCCAAAGTGAGACTCTCCCCAGTGTCCCACAGCGATGGCCTGCCCCGTGGCTGGTGCCAGTGGTGAGGTAAGCCTCTTTTATGAAGCACTTGCATTGTCCTAAATGCTTTACATGCATCATCTCATTTAATTTCCAAATCAACCCTATGGGTAGATACTGTTGTTACCTTTCTACAGATGAGGAAGCCAAGTATTAGATTGAGTAATTTGTGCAAAGTCACTGGGCTAATAAGTAACAGAACAGAGATTCAATCCCAGCAGGCTGACACCAGAGCTAACATTCTTAACTCCCGTACTCCGCTGCTCTGGGGAAGGTCTCAGATGCTCCAACCCTCAAATACTCTTCCCTTCCCTCACCCAAAGGAATACTTGTTGTCTTTGCCTGTTTGCAATCCAGTATCCCTTTTTCTGGAAACAACATCTCAGTTTTTCTTTGGGGCGCCCCCTT